GTTTCATTAGAGAAGAACCCGTCCAGAAGACCCATACAATTTTTTTCTTTTTGATTTTTTACCTAGATTACTGAGATGCATCAGGACTCCATGTAGGGAGGTTTTTTGTTCAACTTCTGCACTGTTAAAGCCATAAAATGAGTCTCTTTTTGTTGTTGCAGGTTTTTGTAGGGCTGTCGTTCCCCTACGAAGGACCCGCTCCTCTGGAAGCTTTGGCCAACGGCTGCATTTTCCTGAACCCCAGGCTGAATCCTCCACAGAGCAGTCTGAACTCTGAGTTCTTCAAAGGGAAGCCCAACACAAGAGAGGTCAGCCTTGTTTGAAGCACCGTAAACAGAAAAAAATCATATTTCATTTTGTTTTTAGCAAAATATATTTTTCATGATGTGAATGCAATAAAAATCAGTGATTTTTTTTTGGTTGGTATTTTTCTGCAGGTGACTTCTCAGCACCCTTATGCTGAAGCAATAGGAGAACCTTATGTGTGGGTGGTGGACATGTCCAACCAGACAGATGTGCACAGAGCTCTAACTGCTATTCTCAATCACAGTGTAAGATTTTTTTTATTTCTTTATGTGGTCTGTTTATCCTCCTTTCTCAGACAAATACATGGTTGGAAAACTTAATTTCTTTTCTTACATTTCTGTTTTAGATTGATCCGTACCTTCCCTATGAGTTTACCTGTGAAGGAATGCTGCAGAGGGTTAATGTCCTGATTGAAAAACAGGTGAGGAAGATCTGGATTAGAAAGTTTGGGAGTTACATATTTTAATTTCTTATCTTGATCACTTTTTTTATTTTATTTTATTTTCTCAAGGACTTTTGTTCAGACGCAAAAAGCTGGCCGCCTCTGAGCGCGCTGCAGGTGTTGAAAGCAAACGCAGGTGTTTCATGTAAACAGGCGTGTCAGGGGGAGGGGCTGATCTGTGAACCGATGTTCTTTCCACACCTGAACGATGCTAAGAATCTTGCCAGGTGAGTTTATGTTAGTGTTGACACGTGTGAATCCACAATAAGGCTCTGCATGTCATCAATATCAGAGATGCTTTTATAAATACAGCTGTTGGTCTTTGTTCAACTAGAGAAATTGCATTTCCTGTGAAAATGCTAGTGTGAATGCTTATTGCTGAAACTAGCTGAAATTGTTTAAAAGTAAAACTGTTAATGCAAGTTCAATTCGAAAAGCTGAAAGGAGTCAAATGTAAAACTTTGCAGAAAAACTGTAGAAAAGAGCAGAAATACATCTGAAATAGCAGGAAAAAAGACTCTAATTAGCAGACACAAGTTTAAATTAGCACCCAGATGGTAAAACGGGTGTGGAAAATGTCCAGTTAGCAGGGGAAAAAAAAGCATAAAAGTACAAAAAAGTGACAATTTGTTGTAAAATAGCTAAAACAGCAAAATTGTGTAGTAAAACAGCTAAAATGTAGCTGAGAATTCCTAAAATAAGAAGCAAGCATTAAAAGCACAGGTTTGCTGAACTAAGCAGAACGAAGATGCAATATCAACAAAAATGTGAAGTTAGCTTATGAAAGCTAACTTTAGCTAATAACAGTTTAACATTAGCTAAATTTGCAGCAATAGCTGAACATGTTGAATTTGGGTCTTCATGAAGGATGACCAGTAGTCTGTTCTTAGTTTATATGTTTTACTGTAAAGATTTTACAGCAAATACACTTCACCAAGGCTAAAAATATTTCCCTTTTTCAACTCGCAAGACAACTACAAGTCTTGCGGGTATGATCATAAAGTYATTTATTGATGGGCAGACATGGAACAGAAAGCAATCACGAAGTCTGTTGAATGTGGGCCCGCCTGTCATAGGCCGGGCAAGCAATGTTATACTGTCAGCTATCACCATGTGATAATTAACAACCAATCATAACCTGTCCCATCCAGATACATGAAATAGGTCAACTTGATGATGACGTCCAGGGATATCACAAGATATGAACAAGTGGACAGTGTCAAGGTGATACAGAAATAAGTATTCCACAACAGTAATTTTTTCAGATGAAAGCAAATTTTACATGTCATTTGGAAATCAAGGTTCCAGAGTCTGGAGGAAGACTGGGGAGAAGGAAATGCYAAAATGCCTGAAGTCCAGTGTCAAGTGCCCACAGTCAGTGATGGTCTGGGGTGCCATGTCAGCTGCTAGTGTTGGTCCACTGTGTTTTATCAAGGCCAGGGTCAATGCAGCTATCAGGAGATTTTGGAGCACTTAATGCTTCCATCTGCTGAAAAGCATTATGGAGATGAAGATTTCATTTTTCAGCACGACCTGGCATCTGCTCACAGTGCCAAAACCACTGGTAAATGGTTTACTGACCATGGTGTTACTGGGCTCAATTGGCCTGCCAACTCTCCTGACCTGAACCCCAGAGAGAATCTGTGGGATATTGTGAAGAGAAAGTTGGGATACACAAGACCCAACACTCTGGATGAGCTAAAGACACAAGACCCAACACTCTGGATGAGCTAAAGACACAAGACCCAACACTCTGGATGAGCTAAAGACACAAGACCCAACACTCTGGATGAGCTTAAGACACAAGACCCAACACTCTGGATGAGCTTGAGACACAAAACCCAACACTCTGGATGAGCTTAAGACACAAGACCCAACACTCTGGATGAGCTAAAGACACAAGACACAACACT